CAATGCTTGCAGACTACTGCTGGTCTGTGTGTAGGGATGCTCCAGAAGTGTTTTATAAAAGACAAGCTAAACGACAGCGATCTTACAATGAATCGGATGGACTTAATTGAAATTTGGTGGTACAAACTTCTTTTATTTGTCAAAACACTAAGAATAATGTTTTTTTTTATTAATTTTGTACTTAAAATATTCTAAAAGAAACATAACAATATTGTTTTATGTACTTTCACTTTTCACGTATAGTATAACTACTCTTTAAGATTAAGTACTGTGTATCTCAAAAACCAGAGCTAATAAAAATTTTTCATTGTTATTTTCGTTTTTATCACCCCAAAATTAGTAGAAATTGACTAATTTAGTGCAGGAAACATTCAAAAAATATTTTTTGTTTTGTTGTGATGGGAGGCAAATGTTTAAGCGTTGAAGAGTTTAACTTTCTTCGTATAACAAGTTATGTCTTCCCCGATCTCCCCTACCTAAAAGACGTTCCACCACGCTGTGTTTACAATCTCTAGCCAAAATGTCAATTCAGTATATCTCTGAAAACACTACTTGCCCACGACATGATGGCCAATGTTTTCAATAATTCTAATCACCTGTAATTTACTGTAGCGAATATAGTCGCCACTAAAAGGAATTACTTGCTAACCGCATTCGCGATAAACATTTTCATGGAAATAATCATTGTTGCATATTGTAACAATCGTTTCAAGGTCCGAAAGAAAATGAAGTACACATCAGAATGACGCATCGTGATTGTTTTCCCATAACAATTGATTAATATTCTCATCAGATTATACCCGGCAAAAGTGTAGCCAACATAATATCAGAACAGATTATTGCATCAATGTTATTAACAACGGATGAAGTACGCAAATAAAGATTCAGTTATCGAGGTTAAAGTTTGTACACTTTGGATACTGATAAGATTAGTTCGAATTTTCCTTCAATATTTAGTGTAGCGATTTATTAAGTTTCAGTTAGTTCCACGGAAATGGCGTCGAGCAGGTACGTTCTTTGTTTATTTCCTTTGTTTATACTTGAGGGAAATTCAGTCATATGAAACAACAACTCTACCAAGACAGCTGATGACAATCAGCTGTCTGATCAAATCAAATTTGTAGAAATTGTAATATTTTATAATTTTTTCGAATTTTCGCTATAACGAGTAACTATTTATTTTCAAAATATTACAAGAATATTTTGTCAAATGTCTTTCAGGAGTGCTGCAGGAAATGAAATCTTCAAATTATATAAATCAAATTATCCTGTATCTATTTTTTTCACATTCATAACAAATTTATATATTCTTTAGGCTTTTTGTTTACCAATTTTGTTACTGATTTCCACTACCTAAATGAGGTTATCAATCCGACACGTATGTGCCTAATATAATTGAAACTGCAATATCTCCACATATAATTAGGTATTTATTTGAACTTCCGAACGAATATACAAAAATTGTATATGGTGTATAGTCTATCCATTCCTAATTGGAACGGCAATAAAAATAAGAGTACAGTCATAAACATTTCTTGCCTGTGGCCCCTAGTCGCCCAGATATGTAAGCAAGCTAAATGACGGATGTCGCTCAAATTCCGCGTGGGTTCAGAAGATAGTTTTCCCCTCCCAGCTGCAAATATAATTTCGACATTCCCTTCACGTGGAAATTCTAAATGATCGGCTCCCGTTACTTTCTTGACATAATGTAAGATACTACGTTCATTTTTCAGTTGGTGAATTATTACAATTTCAAAGAGGACAATCCAGAATTTTACGAAGGAGTGAATTTACGTAGTCTTTTGAAAGTAGGGGAGGATTCTATTATAATTGTACCACCTTACAGAGAACAGACCGGTAGGCGAATATTGCTTTATAGAATGGGTGAGTAACAGTCACAACTATT